CTTTACCTTAATGCTTAATTTCTCACATGATTTATTTAATAATAATACTAAATAATAACTGTAAAAAATAACTTCCCACTATTTCCAATAGTCCTTCCTATTATTAAGGTTCATACTAACTCCTCTATGCAAAGTGAGTCTCTCTCCAAGCCATTTACAAACTATATCTCTCAATTTGTCAAGCTATTTGCAAATTAATCGTATCCCTCTCTCCCTTTCTTTGTCAAACCGTGCATACCTCCATTATTGGAGCGCAAATAATTGATCTATTACTTCATCTATAATTTATCAAGAGAATTCAATCTTCACTGGTACCTTTGTTTGAAATACAATGGAATGAATGTATAAAGTAGTGTAGATCAAGACTCTCAACAAACTCATTCTGATATTATTTTTGTCAGGTATTTTTTTAAATATAATTGAATGAATTTATTAAAAATTGATCACATCTCCTCCTATTTACATTTCTATTGGTTTATATTTTTTTATGGACATCGTTTCTGGATATTAATGGAAACTAACAGTTACACTTGCGTGCATTTTTTGTTTTGTTTTTAATTGATACATGGAATTTTTTTTTGTACTTGATAATTACTGTAACTATGAAATAGTTGCTAAGAAATTGTTGTAACAATTGGAATATTGCATAACTTTTGACGCGCACTTCCAGTATAAATTGGAAATTATATGATACAGGGATGTTTTGTAGATTATACTAAGAAATTGTTTGGAAGTTTTCAATGGGTATTTGATATATTTGGTGTAATTATTGACGAAATATGACACTACACGTAATTATTACTCCATTACATTGGAAGTCTCTATTAAAATACAAAATTCATAAACTGCCATAAAATGTTTCCGACACAATATTCATAACCACGTGTATTGTTCATTGTAGTATCAGACTATCATCATCATACACTTAAAAGTTTGAAGTAGTATTATATGCTTTGTGGTTTGTGTCAATTATCATGATTTTAGGTATACCTATATATCAGGACTACCGTAATAGAAAGCAGATGGAAGTACTTAGATATACTAAATTAGATAATTTATAAAATATACTAATATTTAAGCTTGAAGTATATAGTTCAGTATATTTACTCTTGGAAAAATATTCCCTAATTATTTATAAATAAATAGCCTTAATTATATATCTCAGAAACTATATATCATATGCTTTGTGATTTAGCCTTAGGTATAATTCTCATTTAGCCTTACTATAATTTTTGTAAGTTTAGTGTAATTGGTTGTTACTGTTTTTCAACCTCATTAGTCTAATAATTTTAATTTTAAATAAATTACATGCGGTTTTTTTCCAGATATACATGAGGCAATAAGAGTAGAACGTCACAACGCCCATAACTGTTAGGCATAACATCCCAATTCCTCATCCTAATCCTCTCAACGCATATGGAAGACAGAAGATAAAAAAATATCGGTTGTATCATATATAAAATTCAATAACGTGGCTTTTGTTTAAGACATGCATGGAAGTTGTTAGGAATGGAAGCTATAATAAAATTACAAATTTTATTATGCATGTTTATCAAAAGAATCATTTATGAATTTTTTATCGAATTTTGTAACACTATCTCTCTTATGTCCTCTTTTTTATAAATCTTCTTAACTTCTAGGCCTTATTCATTTCTTTTATTCAAAAGTTAAAATCAAGGCATGCAATGAAACAATTTGTCACTCACATGTTATTTCCTATTTTACATATTTGAAAGGACTCTAGATGAGGAAACATAAACCACAAATCAAGACATGGTAATCGAATTTAAAAATACAATTGCAATTATGAAAGAAAGTATAAAGTTACAATAACATATAAAGAGAGGGGGAGAAGAATCAAAGATGCGTTAAAAATAAGAGAGGAGTAATTTTGCAAAAAGGATAGAGATGTTATTGGGACAAATACAAATGTAGATTTACAAAAAAAAAATAATATATTTTTGTAAAATGGAGAAGAGAGGTTATAGATATCAATTCAAATATGATTATGGAATTAAAAATTATAAATCAATTATTTATAAATGAAAGTTAAAAGCAATAAATGAATGAAAATAATACATTTCAAAATTTATATCTCCTTCACATATATATATATATATATATATATATATATATATATATATATATATATATATATATATATATATATATATATATATATATATATATATATATATATATATATATATATATATATATATATATATATATATATATATATATATATATATATATATATATATATATATATATATATATATATATATATATATATATATATATATATATATATATATATATATATATATATATATATATATATATATATATATATATATATATATATATATATCATCTTTATTTTGCAAAAATCATACAAAAATATGTTAGTAAATTGGTTCCCTATGTGTGATAACTGACCTTGATATTTTTCTAGAAAATTAAGTCTTTCCTAAAATATGGAATGATATCTTTATAGAAGTCTATATATACACACTAAAAAAATTGTTTAATTAAATAAGTAATATTATTATTTTGCCATCTCCAAAGGATAATGTCTATGTGTATATTAACTTATATGATATACTGATGTATTTGAATACATTGAACAAAATTTTACATGAATATTTTAATTCATCTTTGAAATTGTTACAATCAACTTCATTTTTTTAGATAACTTCATTCTTGCTAGCCCTTTGAACATAATAAAGATAGGAGTATAAAAAAAAGTAAGATAAATAATACAAACTAATTTTGATGGTGAGTATAATAGAATATTGATGGTGATACACAACTCCTATTAGCGATGGTTGGTAGTTGTCATCTAATGGAACACAGGCTATCGTGAACTCATTTACACTGCTCAAGAATATATTTTAAACTCCCATATAGATAATATCTTTTTAGAAATATTTAATATAGATGCACTAACATTATGAGTTAACTAAAATACAAAATAATTTGGAGTAACATAGAAATATTACTATGAACCTACAAGGAGCAATTGGAACACAGTGAAATCTATTAAACTCCCTTTACTATAACACTATTTTTTCTCATTATTTTTTTAATTAATATATCTTTTATCTATAACTTAAATTAACTCAGTTTTTCATATAATTTTTTTTTGTAGTAGTAGTTTTTCATATAATTAAGTTACACTAATTTCATTTCTTACCCCATTTTATATTTTAATGTTTAGTTAATATGCAATCTTTTCATCTATTTGTCAAACATAATTTATGTTTTTTTTTATTGATTGTACATTTTTTCTTCGTCTTTTTTATATTTTAGTTTTGATTTATATTTTTAACATATGTTTTACAAATAATACTTTTTGGTGTAAACTTCTTTTTTCCAAAAACAAATATATTTATTTTAAATCCCGTCCATATTTACCAATATTTTTCAACATAATTAGTGAAATTATGTTGCTTATAAATTGCAAATGTGTTTGGCAGTTACATTAAGAAAATGGAAAACAATACCCGTCAGATATCAAGTCAACAACAAATGGCAAGAAGGGCCGAAAATGAAAGGAAGAGGAGACAAAATATGAACCTCGAACAAAGAGAAAATTATTTATCGATACGACGTGACAATTATAGGCGGCGAAAAGAGCAAGATAAACAAGCTCAAACATCTTGCATTATGAACAGTCGGAGGAGAGTTCCATTTCAAAATTTTACAAATATGAGATCTCCAATATCACACTTTCAAGGAACTCATGACAATGAAGTCGGCCCAAGTAGAATTACACATGTTAATGATGTTGCACTTGGTTGGTGAGGATCAATATAGACATTATAATCGTACTTTGTATAATATTGCTTATTTGTCATCTCTCATTTTATGTATTTAAACCCGCGAATCATAATTTCACATCACCTAACCAACGTATCAACAATAGTCACTTTGCTACAGGTATACAAGATATTGTTTTACATATGCGAGCAGTAATTTCAACACATATATATATATATATATATATATATATATATATATATATATATATATATATATATATATATATATATATAAGATATAAATATGTTAATTATTATTTTTGTATCAGGCGATATGGATGTTGGTGAAGCTTTGGAGGATGCAGTAATATCAGATGTTAACATGGAAGTCATAAATGATGGTGCATCATGTCGTCCTCAAGGTATGTTCATAAACATTTTTGTGCCAAATAATGTAGCTTATTTTCTTATTGAATTTCATAGTTATGGTGGTCTCGGGTTGGTGCTACAAGGTGTTGTGGAGGATTAATTCGGTATGTTTAAAATAATAGTAGCATTAATATATAGTTAATTCACTAAAGTATTTTTAGTATATATACATTTATCATCCTGATCTTAAGACTGTTTGAGAATATCTAAAAACAAATACATTAATTAATCTTAAATATGATAAAAACTTCATACAAAATATACACATGTTTATTTTTCTATGCTGTGCGCATTAAAAAAAGCGGACAGACGGGCACGGGAGTGCCCGTCTGAACGCTAGTAAGGATAAAAATAGTATAAAAAAAATAGGCTACGTCAAAATAAAGTATTCCCTTTATATATTGTATAGATATAGATTACTACTACTATTACTATTACTATTACTATTACTATTACTATTTCTATTTCTATTTCTACTATTACTATTACTACTATTACTATTACTATTACTATTACTACTATTAAATTTACTATTATTATTACTATTACTATTATTCAAGCACGAATCCACTCCTTGTTAATTGGGGTACATGCCCCCACTATGTTTTTTAATAGGAAGTTATTAATAAGAATTTATGTGAAAATTAATAATAAGAAGTTATGTGAAAGTTAATAATAGGAAGTTATTAAGAGTTTTTATTCCCCTATTCCATTTTTCATCTCTTAGTACCTAAGTTTTTTAATGGCCACAAAAAATGAACAAATGCTAATAATAAATATGCACACGCGCACACAGACACACGCCTAGAATAAGAACAGAAGAGAAGAGTAAATAAATATAACCTTGGCCTTGGGAGCTAAACCATCCATAAGAGCGGCGATCGCGTTACCGGCATTGTTTTCTTCGATGAAACTGATAGTTAAGTTGATGACCAAGAGAACAACGATTCCAACAAAATCTTGCCAATCTGGAGGCTTTCCACCTCCACTAGCCAAAGCAATGGCCATGATAGCAGCAGCTTCCATAACCCATGACAAAGGGTTCCACATAAATCCCAGAAACTTCAAAAGCTTGTCATCTTCCACCTCTTCCAGCTTGTTTGGTCCAAAGACTTCAAGCCTGTTGGATTCTTCCTCTGATGAAAGACCTTTTCTCAAGCATTTCAGCTGCTCAAACACTTCTTCGATCGGAATCCGTTCCTACATTCACAACATGTCACGTCAGTTTTTCCATGCATGGATCATATATATTTCTCTTATCATAATCACACAAATTTATACTAAATTTTGAACTAAATTTATATTAATTCCATCGTCACAAATAAGATCTTTAGTCACAAATAGGATCTTTAGGTATATTTTATGTGCTGAGTTCAATCTAAGAAATAATTATCTAGGGTTTCAAATACGATTATAATCATGTTTAAAGCATCATTTATGATTAAACAATCATAATTGCAATTTTCATAAATGGGAATGAATCTATAAAAAATCATGCAACTAATAATATATATGAACAAAATTAAATATATGATCTTATACTATAATAAACAACCTAATCAAATTGAGATAAATTGAAGAAAATATTCGATCTTATACTCTAATAAACAACTTGATTAGGTTGTGATAGATAGAAAGAAAACATCAAACATAATCATACCAAATTAATATTTTCGTTTCTTATTTCTTCGAGGTTGATGCTGCTCAGAGCAAGAGAGCGATGATGCCAAGAACAATGAACACAAAATAACATGTAAATTATTATAAAATGATTTGATTTGAAGAGATTTAAGAGTAAAGAGTCCTGGAATGAGCGAAAAGTTCAAAGTGAAATGTATAAATGAAATTAAAAAAGAGAGAAGGAGAAGGTGTTAAAAGATTGAGCCTTGAACTTAGGCTTTTTTGTTAGGGCATATGTGATTAGGAGTGAAGTGGTCAAATATTTTGAGAGCCTATTTTAAGGTTGTGGGCTCCACTTGATGTCATTTTTTCATTTCTTTCATAAATGTTATTAATTTTTTTTCTTTTAAAAAAGTTTTTATTCTATTTTATATTACAAATGGCATAATTTTTATATAAAATAAAGGTATCAAGATGAAAATAAATAAATAAATAATATCAAACCATATCTATCCATTGTGATATTTCTACTAAGTACATTGAATTATGTAGTCAAAATTTTGAACATTTTTAATACACTTATCATGTCATTATTTATCTATAACAATATATAAAGGCAATAAATATTTTTGGTGTAACTTTTTTATTTCCAATTTTGTCTCTAATAAATTGATTTTATTACACTCTTTTATTAGTTAGCTATTATTCTTCATCTTTCATAACTTCATAACTTCTAAACCAATCCATCTTCTCTCTCCATTTTATATTCTTCCCATTAGATATATTGAGAGAGAGAAAAAAATATTGGAGAATCAAATTAAAGATATGGAAGAAAGAATACAAAGATGAAAATGAAAGAGAAAGATAATAATGGTAACTGTTATCTTTTATGTAATATTTCTCTAAATTAACTTTAATTTTTCTGTTATGTTTTTTTAGCAACTCTTATTTTTTTTTTTGTGTTCTTATTATTTTTAATGTGTAATTATTTCTTAATGATAAATTCATATTTTTGGTGTAGTTTCTTTGAGTATCAACAACATAATGCCGTTTTTTTTATTCACGTTATCATTCCTTTTGTTTTAAGTATTCTACCATTACCTTTCTTTATCACATACTACCTGCATTTTTATCTTTAATATTTTCATTTTTTCAATTTTTCTTCTTCAAAATTTAAAGATTCTTAAATATTTGAGAATACCTAATAACTTTAATTTTCTTACACATACTTTCTACATTACTATTTTTATATATTTAATAATGATTCTTAAATTTCTTTTTAGTTTTTAATGGATAAATCAAGCAAGATAGAAGAATGTGCAAGACAATGGCAAGAACACATAGGCATAATCTTTCAAAATATAACAGATATAAATCATTCACTTATAATTATTTCTATAGGTTTGATTAGTTATTAAAAGTTATTCATTTTAATTATATTACTTTGTAGTTTTTTGTATTTTTGAACCAACTCTATGTAAAATTATTATTAAAGTTGTTAATTATTATATAAATTCTATTTATTATATCATAATTCTAATAAATTTATTAATATCTGCGAACAATCCACCGAAATAGATACGTAATACTGAAAAATGTTTTATGTATTTGGTTTTGCAATGTTGATTGATTATCTCTCTTCTTTTCTCTCTTAAACTCTTCGTTTAAAACTAAAGAAAAAACTCATCTCTCTCATTTTTATTTTTATTTTTTTTTAATATTTATGTTATGTTTTTAAAGAAAATTGAAGAAACTATTAATTTCAAAAGAGGCAGAATGCTACATATATGCGGCAAAACTTGAAGGGACTTCAAATGATATTTTTTACATAAATATATATTTTCCATGCAACAATTGAAATGAGTGTACAGAAGATACTTCTATGTAATTGTACATATATTCTAATTTATTCACATTTCTTAAATTTTGTTTATTATATATTTTTCTCTTTATACGTTGTCTATTTTACTTAGTTTTTGAAGAATAATTTATGTGTTTTTTTTTTGTCTAACAAGAACATGAAACTTTTAATCTCTCAAAATTTTGTTTATTTCACTTTATGTGAGATTAATTTATTTGTGGGTTTTATTTGTATTTATCTCCCTAACTTTTATTTATGATTTCTTTTTATTCTCATAAAAAAATTTCTTTTTATAATATTTATTATGGTTTCTCTAAACTCTACTTAATATATTCTATAACTATTATTTATTCTATAACTATTATATATTCTATAACTATAGATAAAGATAAAGAAGATAGATGATTTTGGACAGACCTATTTCATTCCCATTTTATCCTTTAAGTTATACGCAATTTATTTAATTTTTAAAAATAAAGTGCTAACAAAATGATACGATTTTTTTATAAGATGAGCATAACTATCAAAGTTGGTTTTTTTAATGGAAAAAAAACCAATTTTGATAGTTATGTATCTCTTACAAAAATGATGGAAGTGCAAAACACACTTATAAATGAATAGAAAATGGAAATTCATTCATTCAGTGGCAACATAAAAAAAAACATCATCATAATCCACTATTTATGGTTTGTGAAAGATAAATAGAGAAAAAAAATTATTCATCTTCATCTCTTATTTGATCACCAGTCTCTAATTTCTTCTCTAATTCTTTATCATACTTCATTGTTAATTGATATGAAGTTTATTTTCCTTTACAATGTTATGATTATTTCTTTAAGAGATAATTTGCCTTTATTTTAGAATCTATTTTGTTGATTTTGCATTTGGTTGTTGCAACTAAATATCAAATTATATTGATTTGGTTAGAGAATATTATTAAAAACAATAAAACATTATTTTTAAGTGTCTTTCTTTTTAAACCTATTGGTCTTAAAGATAAGAAATATATGAATTGTTTATTTATGAATTGGTTCATCTGTATTTAATACAATACTAATAATATAATAGAAAACGAACAATAAATATTAAAGATTACACACACCTCCAAGATAATGGAGGGAAATGAAAATCAAATGTTAAAACATTTCTTAAAGTATTACTTCAATAAATGAAAGAGTTTTAGCAGATAATGGTGTTATAATCTAGATAATGGTGTTATAATCTAGACATGCGAATCAGACCAACAGGTCCAGAACTTCACAGGTGTACGAATGGTATTAAAACAGGGCACTACAGTTCAAACTGGAGAAGAGTTTTAGCAGCAGTAACGAAGGGGCCGTGGCTTGTTTCCTTTAGACAGGTTTTCGAAGCTTGAACAAGTGCTCTTCCTTTCACTACATACCATACTTTGTTTCAGAAACTTTTTGGCGATGTTGTTTGACAGGGAATAGGCAGCTGCGGTGCTTGATTCAAAGTTGTTGTTGGTATCATTGTGTCTTACACACAATTCTTGGATTAAGCTCAAGTCGCAATGTTGCCGGCGCGGTTGTTTGTTGAAGCCCCACGACGCATATTACACGACGAGTTCACTTTGATATAGCGGGACTAACCGGATAGGAGATTATATGATTGTAGAAAGTACTACTCATGTGTAGTTATTATTGTAGAAAGTATGTTGTCACAAACATCCTTCACATACTTTTTGATCTTCTTCTTGCAGGGATTCTGGTGGCTTTGGTGCTATTGCTCTCTATGTTTTGGTTGCTCTTGATTGGGAACTCAACCTTTTCTTCTACTAACTACTGTTTTGATTTGTGCAACTGACTTTTCTGGAGGACGAAGGTGGACGGTTCTCCGATACATTTACATCTCGTCTCCGGACGGAGTTGTGATAAAGTGAAGACTGTTGCATTGTGTTTGTTATGTCGGAGCTGTCATAGTTAGAGGTGTCATAACTTCCTTAATTTACAGCTCGGACCCCTTAACTTCTGTGCTTTCATGTCGTTGTGTATAATTCTGTGTTTGTGAATTCCTTCTTCAATGAACGCCGTCGTGTTCCGAAGGTCGATTAATTGCGTCTGCGTTTTGATTTGCAGGAAATGGCTATTCCTTGTCGTAGATATGGCGTGGGTTTCTTAAGAACGGTATGGTGCCGGTACTACGCAAACTGATGGCCATGTTTTGAAAAAAGTAGTTTCTTGATGGCTAACTTGGTTCTTGGCTTTGTTTTAACAGGGTGGTACAAGTTGCAGGGCAAGTGATGGTACCAAGGTTAGAAGCGACATTTAATAAGAGAGGGAGCTCCACAAGTCCTCAACCATGGCCGTGTGACGTCGATGATGGATTTCCTTGATGGTGGATGCCGAACTTAAGGGAGTTAGAAGTGGCACGACATGACTGTTATCTTGTTTTCCAAAGCTTGTATTCTCTTATGTAAATAACCTCCAATTTGCAACTTAGTTGTTGGTAGCATGTAATATTCACGTGTTTTTAAATGAATTCAAGATCTGAACAACCATAACAACTGTACCAGAATTCACTGCTTGGAAACACCTTTCTATTTAGTAATTGAAACAAAAGAAAAAGTCCCACTTTATGCTAAAGGAAACTTATCTAGTTGAAATCCAATGGTTATATCCTAAAAATGATTGGATTCGAACAAAATAATTCCACAAAACATCCTTGCACAAGTCCGACAAGAGTCCGCCATGACTTAAGTTTTGCGATATTCTATTTCGCGTGGTATGGGTATGTACTTTCAAAACATGCGGCACCTTTAGTAGTATGAATTATTTGTGAGCTTGAATAAGATTAAACCTCCAACATATTAATATAGACTTCCTTTTGAAAACCTCATAAGCTTGACTTTGATCTTTGAAGCTAAATCATATAAATTGCACTAATTTGGGCTTTAATCCAACCTGAACTTGGGATGATAGATTTCAAGGTGATAATTGGAATCACAATGACGCAACACTCACGAATCATCTCAGGCTATACTGTAGCTGTCAGCTGTTGATCCCATATAATCCAATTGAAACTGGAAATAGAAAGATCTTAGAATCCTTATATCAGCATGATTATATTTTAAAGCGCTTGACTGTGGGGATTAACGTTTGATATCGCTGCATCTGCACAACTGGTTAGCCATAATAAACACATACAAAAGAAAACATATGCCACACAAGAAATGCACAAGGAGGTGAAATCTTAAGGTCAAAAATTAGGGTGTGACAGTTCATTACCTTCTTTTCACTATTCACGAATTTTACTTCTTTTTCTTGAATTTCATGAAGAACTAAACTTCTCAGGTTGATCTGCTGTAATCAGGTTCAATTGCCTTGAGATTATTATAACTTTAAAATTCAACTACTACTCTTATCAATCCTGTTTTATGATTATCGTTTGCTTAATCCGAATTGTCATAGACTAGTTTTGTTGATTCGATTCATTTATGTCTCCTAAATTTAATTGCGTGTTATCGTTTGCTTAATTCATTAACTCACTTATTTCTTAACAGTTTGCTTAATTTGGCGAATAGGTAACATAACTCTTATAATGTCATTCTTGCTTGTTGATTGATATTGTGATCGAATAGGAAACATAACTCTTATAATGTCATTCTCGCTTGTTGATTGATATTGCTTAATTTGTTAACTCACTTATTTCTTAACAATTTGCTTAATTTGGCGAATAGGAAACATAACTCTTATAATGTCATTCTCGCTTGTTGATTGATATTGTGATTGAATATGAATATAATCCGCTTAGGGCAATGAAGTTATAAGAATCAATGATAGATAAGAATCGAAACAACAAATTAACTTATTTTCATAATCACTTATTTTAATCATTTTTTCTCCTTACTTTAGTAATCGAACTGAAACCTAAACAACCCCTTAATCGTCATTAGTCGGTTAATAATCATACAAGAGTTATTGCGATACGACATCAGAGTGTCGCTTCCCGTTACTACTTTTTAAAAACCCGTTTTTGACCCGTGTGCGACATCGGATCACCCACCTAAAATATTTTGCTTTTACAAACCTCATGCTTGAGGGGCTGTGTACATTTCGTCCCTTGGACCGAATTCAGACCCATACTCGATATAACCGCCCAATCCTCTTCGGGTTCATAAGGATATGACCAAGATAAGACAATTAACATGTCAAGTCGACAAGACCGACTTAAAACCAAAGTAGAAGGGATATTCAACTTGAGAAGTAATAAACAAGACCTTCAATGTGGATTTCTGACCATATGAACCGAAAGTAAACATGGGAACAAAGACTTTGATGACTATTGAATGATCATGACTTAATGCCTTTTTTGGTTCTGTATGCTTATCTTGAGTTTCATTTTGCCCCCTTAACTTAAAAAAGATCCATGTAAAGACTAACATAATACGTTTTGAAGAGTTAAATATTATATAAATATTTTTTAAATTAAATGAGCAAAATGAAACCTGAGATAAAGAATTAAAAGAATATTTATGAGTATAGAACTCAATGATAGCCATATAACAAATATCATAATAGAAAAAAATGACATACACTTCATATACAATTTTTAATCTTACGTGAAACTCTAACAATTTAGATGTAAAAAAAAATTAAATTATTATTTATTTATTTTTAGAGTTTAAAAATATTATATTGACAGTGTAAAAAATATTACATATATATTTAATTAAAATATTATACACTTGTCAAATTATAATAATATTTTAAAAATAATATTATATACTGTTAAATTATAATAATATTTTAAAAGTAAAAATATAATACGACGCAATACATATCACCCATTATTTGATAGTAATTTTTCTCTTATTTTTATTTTTTATACGAAGATTCAAATAATTTAGACCACAATTTCTTTTATTTTATCTCAAGTTTCCGATTTTCATAAAAAAGTAAAAAGTAACTATGAGCATTGAGCAACAAGAAACATTGAATCTCTTTCATATAACATCGAATAAAAATCATTCATAGAAGTACAAAATAGTCAAAAGAGTAAAAATCATCGCTAAATCAAAACCCTGCGAGCATTTTCCTTTCCACCAATTACATTCCTCAACCTAAACCTACCATTTCCGTATTACATTTTTTTATTTCTCTTTATTTTATTACAATTTTCAATTCTTCAATTCAATAATTATTTTTCCATCATCATCATCTTCGTCTTCATCAACGTAACAACAACGAAGCTACGAATAGGAGATGCTATTTTGTTGTTATTCTGAACAATAGTTGATCATTCAAATGGCCCATTCTTTCGGTCAAGCCGAGATTAATTGGGACAAGTATTTTCTCCTCCTCTATCCTTCATTTTTCAGTTTATTTTTTTAAATAAGATTTTTTAATTTCTATATGATTTTTGTTGTTGTGTTGTTTGATTATGTTGTTCATGTTTGGTGGATTTTAGCATAGAAATTATTCGGTCGAAAATTGATTAAATATATGCAGTCCCTTGATTTTAGGGTTTATGGGGGTAAACGGTTGATAGGGGAAAAAGTAAAAAAAAAAGCTTATGAATTTCTCAGTTAAATAGTAGATATCATGATAGGAATTTCTGAAAAGTTTTGTGATTGTTTTTGATTCTGCTGATTTGAAATGTCGAGTCAATTGTCCTAACGAGTGCGTTTTTCTATGGTTTGAAGTTGCCCTTATTCAATTTGTGTATGTTGTTTTAGCTTGTCCTTAAGGTTGTGAGTTTGGAGGGGAAGGGAGAGGAGGGCTTTGAAAAAAGGGAAGGATTGAGTGAAAAGAATTGAAGGATTTTTGGTTGGGAGAGTTTTGGAGGGTTTATTTTTATTCATAACATCAAAAACCCCCTAATTTGGGGAACTCAATTTGTATTGAAAGAGGTTTTGGAGGGTTTACATAAATTTTTCAAATATATTTTGTGTTGTTATAGTATCCTGAAAATTAAAAATATAGTAATGGTTAACACTCTTTTATCGTTCTATACAAAATCATTCTTTCAAAAAATGTCAAATATTTTCTATATATTTTCTATATATTTTCTAAAAATTCATTTTTGGAAGCCTTCCCCTCCCCCGTCTCCTCCAAACTCCCAAACAAAGCCTAAATGAAACTTATCTTAGGGATATTGTGACTAGAGGAGGAAAAATGATTCTAGATATGTAGTATTGGTTTTGACATGTTTCCTTGTTCTCGAGTAGAATTGATTCTAACTTGAGGCTATAATTTGGAGCTTTTTCTCCGACAATTGATTTTTAGCCGGGAATTTTTCGATCACCTCACTTTTACACGAGTATACTCAAACATAATCACTTTGTATTCAACTCACTTTACGACAAAATCAATATTTGTTTAGATTCACGTTAGAAAACCAAATCACTGTGGAAAACCACGTCCCAATGCAATAAAACTTGAAAATAATGAAACAACTATTTGGAGCTTTTGAGTTGATATGGTTTTTCAACTGGTCATCCAAACATCCAAACATCCAATCATACACGTTAATTCATTCAAAGTTAGTTTTTGTCACCACAGAACCAAATACACATTTTGAGTTCATGGTATTATGATTAATTTTTTATCTACAAGCTGTATTGTCCTAATTAAGTTCACTCAATTCTGCAGGCTAGATAAAACTAAGTTCTATGTGGTAGGAGCTGGACTCTTTACCGGTGTTACGGTAGCACTTTATCCGGTTTCAGTTGTGAAAACTAGGCTGCAGGTTGCAACTAAGGGGGCTGTAGAGAAAAATGCCTTTTCTGTTGCAAAAGGATTACTTAAAACAGATGGCATCCCTGGCCTATATAAAGGGTTTGGTACGGTTATCACTGGTGCAATACCGGCAAGAATCATATTCATGTCGGTTCTAGAGACCACAAAGGTGTATGCCTTTAAAATTGTGAAACCATTTGGACTATCGGAAACTACTCAAGCTGCCGTAGCAAATGGATTTGCAGGCATGACATCGTCACTTTTTGCTCAATCTGTGTTTGTACCAATTGATGTGGTACGAAAATCTAATTATGTTGATATGTATACTGTGGTACATTCAATGCTTCTGCTCTGGATGTTAACCTAGTTCTTCAGTTAGCTTATCAATCTATGATGTTTATTTTTCACTATTGCAAGTATTGGAATTAGCTTGCTGATGTTCTCAAATCCAATTAAGTGTTTATCTTATTGTACTCAATTTTTTTTTTATGAATTCAAAAGTGATAATTAAAAGTTTATTTTAAACACTATGCAACACTGCCAGTTTTTTTTGTTTTGTTTTACCGTCATTTGGTGGATGATGCTTTCATTTTATAAAGTTAGGACTCAGGATGTTGTAAACATACTGAAAATGTAATGGTTGGTTTTATAATGCTAAAATATCAGAAAATGAGAAAATTTTACCTGGAAGAAGGATGGAGAGTGAGGTTATGCAGGGGCGTGTTCTGTCTCTAGACACATGGCGCTTTCAATTGGAGTATGATGTAGAATTCTGCATACAGAAAAATTTTGCGTTGAATTGTGCTATAAATGCCTTATGTCTTTGTGATGATGTTCAATTGATGCTTCATTTGAAGTGTGTCAATTGACACATATGTCAGATTATTAGATCAATAGGAATTTATATTTATTTTTCCTGTTAATTTGCTCTCATTTATTTTCTTGTTGATAAAATTTCTTCTTTCTCAAAACATGGCTAATTCTAATATCTAATTCTCCTTGGATGGTATTCAGGTTAGCCAAAAGTTGATGGTGCAAGGATACTCGGGCCATGCCCAATATAGTGGGGGTCTGGATGTTGCCCGTAAGATTATAAGGTCTGATGGCATTAAGGGATTGTATCGAGGGTTTGGTCTTTCTGTTGTTACTTATGCACCTTCTAGCGCAGTTTGGTGGGCAAGTTATGGTTCAAGCCAACGCTTCATTTGGAGGTAACTTGTAAGACCTAGTAATGCTTGTATTTTATGTCTTAATATTGAGTATGTTGATTTTTTGCATTACCTTTTCAGTTGTTTTATTTCTATTAATTTTCAAATGATAGGGGGATACATTTTTTATTTGGGTTGACTTATTTGAATTTATCTACTGTCTGAAGCACTTGTGAGTAATATAGGAGAACTTACGGAAACAATTAACGACATGCCTATTAGAGTTTGTGAGTTGGGTCTAACTCATCTCTACAAAACCATCTTGTAAGGTGAGGGGTGTCAGATTCTATCTCATACCAATGTAGGACTTGAGATTTTCTCAATACACCCCTCACATCCAGCAGTATTGGGCTTGGTGTGTGGATATATACGGTGGGTGACCTATGGTCCGATCGATAGACTTTGTGAAGCATGGGTACTCCATTTTAGGCAAAGTACCGATACCGGGTACTGATACGCGTACGGCACTCGTACGCTACCTACCGATACCATAACTATTTTTTTTATATTTCTTTTTAAGTCGGTACTTCAGTGGGTACATATTGGGTATACGAACTTAATTTTTTTCTTCTAATGGTAGGCTTTTTTTAAAAGGCTTTTCAAATGATGATGTAGAGTTTGACCAATTTGATTCGTTGCAAGATCAGTAGATCTTGAAACCAAAGGAATGGTGAATAACTTATGGTTACTCAATCTCTAAACTTCAATACATTGCATTGAAACTCCTTGCACAACCAAGTACTTCGTCTTCTACTGAGAGAAATCATAGCACATATGAATTTATACTTGCGTACCTGTACCATGGTTTTTCTAAAAATGCCGTAGTCCATAGCACATATGAATTTATACTTGCGTACCCGTACCATGGTTTTTCTAAAAATGCCGTAGTCCGTACCAGTACCTTTGTAAGGTAGGATAGACTCTGATACCATATTAGAGTTTAGAGTTTGTGGGCTGGACCTAACTCATCCCTACAAAACCGGTTTGTAAGGTGTGGGGTGCCACTCTATATAAACACTTTCAAGGCTCTATCTCTAATCAATGTGGGACTTGAGATTTTCTCAATAATGCGTGCAAGCTCTTCAGGATAGCTTAAAAAAACAACTTATGGCTTATATTTTATGAAAAAAATTTGATTTGATTTTTATCTTTTGTTATATTAATAGCTTATATACATACCACTTGTATGATAAACACTTATACTGTAAGCGCTTAATTGAACTTTTTAACCAAACAGGGCCTTTGTTTGTTTCAACTAATGTGTCTATTTAGAACTATGTTTAATGTTTGATGCCAGCCAGACCTTGCAAACTGACCTTTCTCTCCCACCAAAGAGTTGGATAACTTTTATGTAATTTTCCATGATTGTGGCACTACCTTGGTGTTGAATTTCTTTAAATATAAAGATTTTAATTAGAGATTCTTAAAAATGAAACCTTAAAATTTTCCTTTTAAAGTTGGGCTGGAAATATTTGTCTGTTATGCCATGATTAGTATGAGTGTGTTGATAACATTCACATGTTATCAATCAAACAAGTCTTTAGTAAATTACTGGTATCTTCTATAAGATGGTTACATAAGTTAACCGTGTTGTGCACATAAGTTTCAAACAGCTTATAGGTCTTCTATATAAGTTAGATTATAGAAATCTGTTATGTTACAATGATAATGCAAAGCTGAAAAAGTATTGGCATAGTGAAGTGCTTAAATCTGGTAAAGTGTTCTTAATGTTAGATATTAGATTCATCAGATTAGTGTATAGAATTCACTCTGTCAGGACTGAATTACACATTGAAATATGTGATTCTGTAACCATATCTGCATGCATGCAGTTGAGTGCATTAATTCAGGGAAGCTAGAAGTTCTTCTTGGATGAGATATCTTAGAAAAGGATAAGTCAATTTTACATTAAACTTGTAAAGGAATTTTTACACATTTTTTAACAGGGGCAATTTTATAAATAATAAGGTAACCGGTAATGAATTGTTTACATACGTGCTTGCCATCATTTTTGTCTCTACATTATTATGCCAACTTTATAAAATTCAAGACAACTATCTACTGTTTACATGGACAGATTCTTGGACCAAGGTGCCAAACATGATGAAGGTACTCCCAGTGTGCTGAAGATCATGTTAGTTCAGGCTGCGGGAGGGGTTATTGCCGGTGCAACTGCTTCCTGCATTACAACCCCATTTGATACTATCAAGACACGGTTACAGGTTTGTACAACCTCGTTTTCTTGTTAGTTCATTGTCCTCGGTGATCGTTGTTGTGCATCCTCGTTTTCTTGTTAGTTCATTGTCCTCGGTGATCGTTGTTGTGCATGCTATTTGTTGTATTTGTTTGGTTTAACATTCTTATGGAGTTATGTCACTGTAAAATAGCGTTGTTGTGCATGCTATTTGTTGTATTCGTTTTCTTGTTAGTTCACTGGTTTTCCGCAATCTGCTGTTCAGTAGAAAATGTTGTCAAATAGCTGCCGTAGTTGCGCTATGGCATTGTTGTATAGCAGAACTTGAAGAAATTGATATTTTCTGCAATCTATAAAACTAATTTCCTTTCTGTTCATGTTTGTTCTATAATTCGAAGTGGAGATGACTTATGATAGAGTGCCTAGGGAGTTTTTGCGGAAAACCCCGGAAAAGAGAGGGGTTAGGATTGTCGGTCTATATTCGAGCTATCAATGATATACACTATAGTGAGAACACAAGGTGTAGCTACAGAAGATTTTCCCATACCAATAGGATTGCACCAAGAGTTGACCCTCAACCCTTATCTTCTTACTATAGTTTTGGATGTACTTATACAACACATCCAAGAGGTAGCACCGAGAGGCATGTCTTTTGCAGATGATATGGTTCTAAGGGAGAAATTAAACGAGAAGTTGGAGACAAGTCTTAGAAGCGTATGGTGAAGCATCTAGAGGCAGAGACCTAGGAAAACTATAGAGAAACTATTAAGCAGGATTTATAGACCAACAAGTTGGATAGAAACATGATATATAATAAATTATTTTGGCGTTGTTCATCCATGTAGTCAAGTTCATTTAGTAAGATAAAGCTTAGTTGTTGTTGTTGTTTTTGTATGTACATTTATGGTGATGTTAGATTGTGACATCATTCTCAAAAGAATAAAGGTAAGAAAATACTGAAGATAACATTTAACGAACATTGCGTGGTTGTGTTTCACTTAACCATTGATATTTTGTATCCTGATTACTGCTTATTTAATTTTGTCTAACTGAATAGTTCTGCTCTCTAGGTGATGGGACATGAAAATAAAAGCTCTATAAAACAAGTTACTAAAGCTTTAATCAAAGAAGATGGTTGGAAAGGCCTATATAGAGGGTTTGGTCCAAGATTTTTTAGCATGTCAGCATGGGGCACGTCAATGATACTGACTTATGAATATCTGAGTAAGATCTCTCTTCCTTTTGTAGATTATATTCTCCTTTTGTGTATCTGCACTTGTGATTCTGTTTGTGCTATTTGTTTGCATTTTGACATTTATTAGAGGAACAACATGTGTAAAATTCTACCAAAGCCGAATAGCATTCTAAGTTTGAATGACTCTTAGAGTCTGTTTGGATGAAATAATTCGAAATTCTGGACTTCAGTTGAACTCATTTCAAATATTAGAATTATCATATAAAATTACATTACCTCAAATTTTTTCCATCCAAACACACTCTTAGGTTCGTTGTATGAGCTCATTGAATACCGACACATATCCTTCTGCCACAAAATGTTTAGTAATGTGACCCAGTCAATGCCAACAAACTATTTTCAATGTCCCATCAAATATATTCATCTCATTTTTCTTTTTATTGTACAGTTTTACCATATTTGGATTCGAGGAGAAAATTGCATTCACCTTACGAGAGTATGCTTATATGCTACTCACCTTACGATTCAGTTTTTAAGGTTGAGTTAGACTCAGTATAAATTTTACAATAATTTCAGAGTCTATCTAAGATCTATTAGCCTCTGCCATTAGACCACATGGGGCACGCACATGTGAGATGTCTAATCTTGCGTGAAAGGTGTATTTTGAGAGTTTTGTATCGGATGAGATATAGATTAAAAATGTGTATAATTGAAAGACATTCCTCACCACGTGTCTATAAGTTAGAGTCATATTTCAACATACATGTCAATTTTGAGCGTTGAGTTAGTTTCAACCTATGTAGCACTGACACTTCTGGTGTCCGGCGATACCAAAACATGTGGTTAAATTTAATTATAGCATTATCTCAAATTACTATCTGTGTCGTGTCTGTGGCAGATGTTAGTGCAGCAGATGTTGGTGCTTTATAGGCCTCAACTCAAATTTTGAGAAAACAAAAAGATAAATATGCAAGCTTTGAATGCTAATGTATCATGTTACCTTTTTCTGTGTTCATATCTCTGTAATCTTATATGATTATTTTTTTCTTTGCTCAGAACGATTATGCGCAATAGAGGAATAGATTCAATTGGTCTGCAAATTCTTCTTCCATTGTTTAAGCCAATATTTTGATGGTAATGTTGTTGTCGAAGTACACAGTAACTTTAACCCTACACCGTCAACACAGGAGTTGTTTTTCATCATTTTTTCCAACTTCAATTTTAGGGTTAAACTTTAAGCAGCAAAGCTCTAATTCCAGATTTTTCTTAAAATAATTGCTGAATATACTAGGAAATTAATAGTTCCATTCTTTATGATTAAATTGGATTTGCTGTAACATTTTTTTTAGCTTTTCTGTGGATTATATTTATGTATCATGAAAGGGAAAGAAATAGACTGCAATTGTGAAGAAAAAATTTGAAACTCAAAAATCTTATTTGTTCCATACAAATAGGAGAAGTTATTGCAGATGTTTTTGTTTATATAGTGTGAAAGATTTGTTATTTCTGAAATGGTAATAATTTAAATTTATTATTCGAAGATAAATAAAGCTCTAACACAATCTCTAATACAAGTCACTTTAGGAGTTATATTTATGCTCTCAAAATTCTTTTTGCATGCTTTCGGTTGTTAGAGGATTTAAGAGCATTTCCAATATTAAAATTACGATTGATTCTTACGTCCTTTTTAGTAGGCCATAATACGATATTATATCATATCCATTGAGTTTTGGGTGTTGTTCACTATATCCATGCAGTGATCTCACATCCTATATAGAAAGGATGATCTGATTTTGGGGGATCTCTATGCCTTTGGGGTCATAAAAGGATGTGACATTATAAAATCGATCTAGTACATGGAGTGTTTGTTTAAAGGATTAAATTTATAATCTTGGAAATTTTATTCTATGGAGTTTTTTAGAATATTTATAAAATATATTTAATTTAGTTTTATAAAAAAAATATAAGAGTTAAATTAATTTAGAGTGGGAGAATGTAAGATTTTTACCATTTTGCATGGGAATAAAAAAAATATCAAAGTCATGAGTAAATCATATTTTCAAGAAAAAAAATATACGTATATAATTTAATAAAACTTGAAACAAACGCTGGAATATAATTTTCAACCTCACATATTGGGAATAAAATTTAAACTCATGAAACAAACACACCCCTTCCGTTCATTTTTCTCTTTCTTTCAGAGTAACTTCCTTTTCTTTCCCTCTCAAATCTCACCATCTTTCACGCTTGTTTTTTTCTCTTATATTGGTTAATCCTTCATTTTTCTTCTTCAATTTGTTTACATGTATTAGTAATTGAAAATCAAAGATAAAATGAGTATTTTAATTTTTTCTTTTTGGACTAAACCATAAAATTCCAATTTGTTAAAATTTTTTCTTCTTCTCAATTTTCCATAAATGATTTTCTTTATAATCAATTGATTTTATTCTTCTCTTTATAGTACGAATAACTTTATTCAAATGATTTTATAGATGTGTCGAAAGTGGTGTTGCAGCATTAGCTTCATAATTATCTTAGAAATATTTTATGTGACCCAAAATTTGCCAATTTAAAATAATTTTCAGATCTTTATGCAAAACTTGTGGAAACGAATTAGTACAACACATTTGATATGATTTATAAGCTTTTGAAGTTGACTATAGTCTTACCAGTAGCAACTACAAGTGTGAAATATATTTTTTCAGCTATGAAGTTTGTGAAGAGTCAACTGTAACAAAATGAGTGATCAATGACTAAATGATCATCTTGTAACTTTTATAGAAAGAGATGTTCTTGAAACAATTAACAATGGTATTATTTTAGTTCATTTTAAAGAAATGGATAGTAGACGACTTTTATTGTAAATGTACTTCATTAAACAATATTATTTCTTATTAAGAATATAAGTTAGTTCATATATATATATATATATATATATATATATATATATATATATATATATATATATATATATATATATATATATATATATATATATATATATATATATATATATATATATATATATATATATATATATATATATATATATATATATATATATATATATATATATATATATATATATATATATACACACATAATTCAACCATCTGCTGAAAACACATCTGAGAACAGAGCGGTAACCACCTGACTTATGTTTCAAATGCATATGTTTGAGAATAGCGTAATGCTCCATACAAGATGGAAATGCTACGCATTTAGGTAGATGCTATGCACGATGCAAAATGCAAGGGAGCCGATCCAGCAAAATAAATGCTGGAGAGAAGAAAGCCAACTCCACTGGGAATCCAATCAAAACCCTGCTGAGGAAAACACCCTGGATGGCACACCAGAATACGACTCTTTTGGGAAACAAACGTCTCAACTGGAGGAAACAAGCCCACTCTACTGGGGAATTAATAACTCTGCAGGGGATAACCATCAACCACTGAAACTGAATCTCGCTTCACCGAGGAAAACAACCCTGAACGGCCTCCTAGGATACCAAAATCCTTCTAGGGTACAAAATACTCATCAACAAGTAGCAACTTCACATGGGGAAGAATCCAAATCATGAAGGTGAGAAAATACTTAGAAGGGGGGTTGAATAAGTATGAAGATAAAAACTTAGAAATAAAACTCAAGTATTTTTATCCTGGTTCGTTGAACTCAACTACTCCAGTCCACCCTTCCTAGAGTGATTTGCCTTTCTCAAATAAGGACTTAATCCACTATTTAATCAACTGATTATAATAGTAAGCACTAAGAACAACTGTTCAAAGTCTTCTCAAGAACTACTGATCCTAACTGGATCTTCTTAAGGTTTTCTTACAATAAAATGTAATAACAAATACAAGTGTTTAAAATGCTTCTAATAAAGCTTTATCACAACTGTGATTTTTCACTTAATATTAAGAACAAAGAAATTAATTCTAGAAAGAATGTGAATTGTATGAGAGCTTTGGATATTGAATTCTTTTCAGGTAAAAACGTCAACTGAAGAAGATGGTTGGAGACTTGCTTTTATAGGCACATTGATCCAAGAGTATTTCACGTTGAGAAGAGTGTACCAAAAGGTCTGAGCCTTTTTGTATTCACATCAAGTGACCTTTCCTAGAAGAAGAAAGCACAGAGAAATCCTTTTTGTCTGTGTTCTTGTGTCTAGCATAAATAAGGAAAGAGTCGTTTGGATCTTCCAACGGACATAATCTTTGAATTCTTCTTCATCAATTTTCAGCAAGAGTCATCAGAGTCTAATTTGATCAGAGCCTTCTGATGTTGATCAGAGTTTTGCTGAATCAGAGTCTTTGCAGCAAGTGTGCTTTTAGCGTATATAAGTTCAGAGCATATTTGAGTCAGATCCTTAGTACTGGCAACTTTAGTACTCTCAGAATCTTCTGTAGTAACTATGCTTGAAAACTCTTCATATAAAATTCTTCTTTGGTTCAGATGCTTCTGACTTGCTTCAGATTCTTCTGGAGCTTCTGCTTCAGATCCTTCTGGAGGCTACGCTCAGGATCTTCTGATGGCAGCGTTCAGAATCTTCTAATGGATGCATCTAATGCTTCAGAGCCTAGCATATTTCTTATGTTCAGTTCTGATTTGCTTCTGGAGTGATAATTACTTTAATATCTGCAGCAAACACTCTTAAGCAAATTTTAGAGTATATAATTCTTAATTACAAAATTTCATAATAGTTATCATCAAAACATAGAGATATTATTAAGAACCAATCTGTGTTCTAATAATCTCCCCCTTTTTGATGATGACAAAAACATCAGAAATTTTGTTTAATTGAAAATAGAATAATTAGAACCCCCCCTGAGATGATGAATCTCCCCCTGAATTAAATATAAATAAGGAATAGAAACTTCCCTTTTGTCTTGAGTGTTTTTCAGAGTTAGAGCTTGATTGTTCTTTAACATTTGAGAGTCAGAGTGTCTTGCATATTTCAGAGTCAGAGTCTGATAATTGTCAAATGATCTGAGAGTCTCAGAGTTTCTTTTACAAAGTATACTTATCAAATGTTATGAAATACTCAGATTTTATGTTAGATAAAATTGATATGTCTGAAGTTTCATTCTGGTGAAGCTTAATTAAACAGTTCAAATCTATTTCTCCCCCTTTTTTGTCATAAGCAAAAAGTAATAACTTTGAAAAGACAAAGAAAAGGAAACAATAAATGAGATAAATCATGTGGAGAAAACTTTGAAACGTTCATTCATTCATTCAGAACAAAAGTACACACATCAAAAGATATTCAAATACATATGCAAACATTAGATGCAAACATCAAAAGAAAGAAAAAAAATAAATAAACTAAGATTGTTTTGACAAAAGCATCTTCAACAGATCCGTGATCTCAGAAGAAGACTGTTCTTATTTAGACATCCACTTAGCCATGGTTTCATTCTTCTGATCCTGTTTGGACATCCACTGAGCCATGTCTTCAGATTTCTTGTCTTGCTTAGCCATCCATGATTTGATTTCTGATTGACCAGCTTCCAGAACTGCAATCTTATCTTCAAGATCTGGATATTCTTTCTTGATCTCAGATGAAGAAGGTGGAACAGTTTCTGAAGCTTGAACAAAGTCAATTTCCATAGGGGCTTTGGAGCTAGGAGCAGTAGAGCCAGAAGGATGTTCTATCATAGTCATAGCCAGAGGGTTGTCTTCAGATGCAGATTCATGATTCTCTTCTGATGACGAAGGGGCATCTGTAAGAAGCAATGGTCCAGATCTCTTAACAGTCCAGAACAGACTTCTAGCAGCTTCAGCAAATCTGAGCTTCGCATCATCAGAACATACGTTCTTCAGATTTGATGCTACAGTATTGAATCTGTTTATGTAGCCATTCCAAATGGCATCAGATTCCTTTGCATCCACTGTTGATGAACATTTTCTCTGTATAGAACCTAAATACATCTGTATTTCTTGCAAAAAACTTGTAAATAAATGATCAACATTCAATCTAGGTCTTGGGTGTAACAGAGTTTCCAAGGTTATTGGCTTGGGTTGGGGAGTAGGTGGAAAGATAGATTTATGAATGGTGATCAGAGGAGGAGGGTAGTAAGGTATA